ATTGTAAAAGTTTTAAACGTAAGTAGCATACTTCCACGTACTTAGCTCTAAATGCTACTCTAAATGTACATTTATCCATACAAAATTCGTCACCTAAATGCAACTAAATGCAACTCCATTTTTGCATTAAGAATCTAAATGCTAAAAGCAACCCTGTGATCTTCCAAAATTTCCACGATTCGAACATGGTTTAATGATAAAAAGTGGCAACATTGCTTTTTCGTGTATACAGTGATATACATATTTAAATTAACTGATGAATTAAGTTGGATTTAATTTTTTTAAGCACATGGCAACTGTCCTAAATACAGTTTAGAACTAAATTACTTTCAAAACCATTTCGATTGATTCCAATCTTTTGACAGTCCATTTAACTTATGAAATAATTTGAGCTTAATTTTTGCAACAAAAAAAATCAAATGTTCAGCTCAAAGATTTCTTAACACTTGTTCTGTTGATAACCATATGTTAAAATTTCATGTAACTTGTGTATAATTACTTAATTAATTAATGTTTAAGAGGTATAGAAGTGTCCAGATTTGGTCTGGTAGACCCCAAAAGAATAAAAACATGAAAAATATAAAAAAAATTCCAAACACTAAGCTAAATCGAGGAATTACAAGCAGTGGTAAGGTAATCGAAATAGCCTTTCAGGCTTGTAAGATCTAACAAAATCTAGGAAAAAACTTAAAATAATTTCTTGATATAAAAAATATATTCTAGTTCTTCATACAAATGTAACCACAATTATGTACATATAATAAGAACATCTACATAGTGAAGAAAACTAAAAAATTGTAAAAGTTTTAAACGTAAATAGCATACTTCCACGTACTTAGCTCTAAATGCTACTCTAAATGTACATTTATCCATACAAAATTCGTCACCTAAATGCAACTAATTGCAACTCCATTTTTGCATTAAGAATCTAAATGCTAAAAGCAACCCTGTGATCTTCCAAAATTTCCACGATTCGAACATGGTTTAATGATAAAAAGTGGCAACCTTGCTTTTTCGTGTATACAGTGACTAGCTGCGTTTCAGTGATCGCCGATCGAGATTTCATTTATTATTTTACATTATTTGGATAAAGTAAAGTTACACCAATTCAACATCGATGTGATGCTGATAGAAATCTGGATCAATTTGTTATCAACTCTGTTTGTTTTTTTTCCTAATTAAGTGAGGAAATTTTAATTGACAGCACCGACAAATGAATATATACACGAACAAATGTTCGGTTATGGTTAAAGCAATTCAAGTTTTTGTATTGAATTTTTGGTCTCAAATTTATTTTTTTCCTTTTCAGTAGGGTTTTTTGCACGTTATCTTATGCGTGAGAAGTGATCGTAATAGATACGGATATGAATAAGCGACTGGAACGGCTGTTTCTCAAAAGCATAAGATTTCGAACTCGCGTAAATGTACATTTGCTAAATGCGATAGCATGAACGCTCTTCGAAAACATCTATTCGAAAGTGCTAAATGTTGCATTTTAAATGCAGCAAAAACGCTGCCGTAGTAATGTAAAAATACATATGCATACATCGATGTACTTACATGCATGCATACACATACATACATATGCATATGTCGATGTATGCACTTAATAATTAGAATAATTAAATACGTATGAGAAGGAATTTAGAACAAATATTTAGTAAGTAACGGCACGGCGAAGTTGCGTATTTTTGTAGGATCCACTCGCGTAAAAAAAAAAATTTATATATATATGTGACCTGGTCTACGAAAAGGGAGCTTACGTGCGAAAACTAGTTTTCTGTGAAAAAGCTGTTAAAAGTAAGCAACTCGTTTCGTCAGTTCCTCATTATCTCGTTAATTGTTCTCCGCGCCGGACGTCCAGTAAGTGTTGTTGTTGGTCCAGTAAGTGTTGTTGTTGGTCCAGTAAGTGTTGTTGTTGGTCCAGTAAGTGTTGTTGTTGGTCGGAATATTATTATAGTTCATCGTGTAAGTTGCTAGTGGGGAACATTTAAAAAAGTAACACTGAAGAAGTGACGTTTACTGTTTCTGTTGATTATCGTCTTCGCATTTCGCATGAAATGAAACATGAGTGTTGATGAGGAGTTCAGTGCCGTATACCGACAATATTTCCATGAAAAGGATGATGAAAACTATGAAGAGAGCGATGATGATGAAGACGAAGGATGAGTATCTCAGGCAGAAGATGATACCGAACAAACTTTTGTTAAGATGGACCTGTATGTTGTTGATGTAAAGGAGGAGGAGCTGGTAACAAAATTTCTGTCAAAAGATTGTTGTAATAATGAATGCCATACACTGATACCACGGGAAATGATCGAGAGTACGCGGAACAATTGTTTAGAGATGTCGAAAAATGAACTTGATTTAGTGATACCAGAGAACTTAGATAGATAGAGAAGGTGCAAATTTTTGGAACGTAAAATTGTTTGGCTGAAAAATAAATCCATGGAATATCACCACAGCGCGATTAACATTCCAAGAAGAGTTAACAGAGAAAAATGTAAATTTCTGTTATGATAATGTTATATTTGTTGCAAGTGTCTGGCTATGTGTAGCTAGGTTGCAGGTGAATGCAGAAACGTATTCATGTATATTTTTTTTACAAAATTAAATAAATTAATATAGTTAAATTTTATTAAATGTACTTTTATATTAGTTAAAATTGCTGATTTGCATTTCTGCATGACCATTTGTTAAATATAATTTATTCAGTAGTTAATGTTGCTAAAAACTTAAAAAGCATCTGTTCAAGTTCGCTTCTTGTACGAGTATTATATTATGTAAATAGTAAAAATGCATGTTAGTTAAAAAAATTATAAAATTGGTTTTTTCACATACTCACTTTAAAGATGGACGCATTAACAAAAAAATGTATAAAGCAATGTGTTTGTTAACTTCTGTTAACTGTTTTTTGACTTTTACTGCAATACTCGTAGATATTATTTGTAAATAATAGTTCTGGAGTCAAATGCAAATCCATTTCCCAGGCATGCGCATATGGATGCTTGTAGTACATACAGATGCGATCAACTAATTAGCAACGAAATTCAAAATGATATTGTTTACAAATTATGCTTATTTATTTATTTTTAATAATTTCCTTTAAAATATAATTCAATCTATAACAGAAACCACAATAATAAAAGTTTAAAAGCTTGCACAATTTGCAAAATAATTAATCAAACTTCAAAAAATTGTTATAAAAATTTAAAAATTTTTAGTTAGAATATTTAGAAAATTTTCGGGTATGCAGCTTTGTAGTCCATTCAATCAAGTACACAAAAGTCCAAGTTTCTAGTCGTTAAAAATTACCGTTGATTTCTTAGAATTTTTTTTTTGTGGAGGGTGTTCGCATTTTCTTCCATATAACACATGAACCAATTTTTTTTTGTATGAAAAATAAACAGCAACACCCCAACAAAAAAATCTAAAAAATCAACGGTAATTTTTCACAACTTGAAACTTGCACTTTCTTATAATATAATTGAATGGACTACAATACTGCATTCCCGAAAATGTATTAAATATTCAAATAAAAAATTTGGATGACCATTTCTTGAAGGTTGATTCATTTTTTTGCAATTTGTGCAAGCTTTTAAACTTTTATTATTGTGGTTTCTGTTCCAGATTGAATTATATATTTTAAATGAAAATCATTAAAAATAAATAAACATAATTTGTTGATGGCAGCTGAATGTATGTATGTATGTACTTACATATGTAATATGTACCCCATACACATACTCCAAAATCATTTATTGATAACGTTCTTGCACCTGCACATAATATTACATATATGTAAGTACATACTAACTTTCTTCTTATTTGGGGCTGACAAACTTTAACTTAAGAGTCGACTTTATTTCGTCTACTAATATGCCCCAATAGTTTTGGAGTCAAATGAAAATGCATTTCCCACGCATACATATATGTATCTATATGTACTACATGCTCCATTAATTGACAACGTTTTTGCATGCATATATAAGTACATCCATACATTCGTGCATATTGCTGTCTAAGTACCACGCACATATATACAAATGTACATATGTACAACTCACGGCAGCATACATACACACATACATAATTACACGCATATTCAAATACAACAATACCTACCCTGCAAAAAATTGTGCGACTAATCTCTAAAGAGAGTATTTCGAGATTACTCTCAATCGGGGACAATAGGGCATTAATTAGTCGCAACTAGTCTCAAACGGGTACTAATGAAGATCAATTACTCTCGACTCATCTCTTATGGGTATAATTGGAGATCAATTAGTCCCCAACTCATCTCTAACGGGTACTATTAAGGATTTAATGATATGTACGCACTTAGTCAATGCAATTTCATGTGCGGCGTTGGCACGCAGAGAGGGTATTCGCCTAACAAAACTGAGCACCCCGGTTCGAATTTCAGCTGGCGCAAATTTTTATTTTTATTTTTTAAAAGTGACTAGTCGCTTTTTATACCCGTTCGGGTATAAATGTGAACAATTAGTCTCTTCATAGGACATGCTCGAACAAAAGCGAACAGTTCATTCCATATAAAGGGATCAAAAGTGGTATTAGTCGCATGCTCATTTGCGATTGCTCCCGGAGTCATCCCGGATTAGTCCCATTTTTTGCAGGGTATTTCATTCATAAACGCATGCGCATACCGCATATTTCTCAAGGCCAAGTAAATTCATCCATAAAAACAACCGCAGCACATCTCCCCGCAAATTCATCACCAACAAGCGCAACTTTGTCAATCCGACACAAAAATTCTAAAATCTTAAAATGAAGAAATCTCGGCCAGCCAAGTGAAAAGTGGCAATTATTTCTCTATAACCAGTAAAATAAGTTATCTCGAATCTTGGCAATTTTTGGTAATTTTTGACAAAACACTCTATTTCTCTGTTCCATACCAATATTTCAATCATTAACTAGTATTTTAAAGTGTCATTTTAATAAACATTAAATAAAAGTGTACGTTTTCTGCAGGAAAATACATTAATTTTTTTTTAATAAAATCAAAACTTCTAAAATCACAAACATATGTGGTTTTATCGGAAGTTCACAGATGTAACGTGGCAACTTAGCTCGTTTTCACATTTTTCGGTCCGAAATTGTAAAATTTTTGTCCATGACGCGCCACGATTTTTGTACAGGTGGGTCAATGTGCCTTGAACACCATTTACATATATACAAAAAAATTATTTTATTTATTTTTTAATATTAAAAATGTCTATACTTCAAAGCGTTTATAAAAGTATATTTACATATATGCACGGACGATTTTTAATATTTTTCATCCGTAAGCAAATCTTCAGTACCATAAAAGATACAAACACATCAAAGTACAAGCAATGCAATGTCCAAGCTAGTGCTACTCCACTGTAGATGTGTATATGAATGTATGCCTGTATGCGTGTAAAAAATGTCAATTCCAGTTGGTTTTTAACACATTTTAGCGGACATAGTTTTTTTGGTTTCAGCTGGTTCCAACTGTTAATGAAGCACAATTTTTATGGTTAATCTTGATGAAAGTTACATGTAGCGTCGAGAACATGGTTACATGCAGAATTCTAAATTAATTAATATTCTTCTCCATATAAAATGTACGAGTATGGCTTTATTAAATGTAAACTTATGCGAAAACCTAAATATTTCGTCAACCAAGGGTTAATTTTGGTGGCGTCGTGGCAATTCGCAGAAATTTAATAATTTGTCAGGGGTTGTATGATGGCGAGGGGAAGACGAAAGCAGTACAATCGTACATATGTATGCACATATTCACATTTATTAATGCATACATATTTATTCGTTTGTCTTTTTGAATATATGAAGAATTTCATATATGTAGTGATTTAGAGATTGGAATTTGAATGATGTACTGTAGCGCGTATGCTAGAGGCGATGCGACTTTTTGGCGTCTCGCCGTTTGTCTTGGTTCAAATCCCGGACGGACCAAGTAATAAATTTTTTATTTTTTTTTTAATTGTCATATCCATATTCGATTTTAAATTTTACTATTAGCTTTATTTAAAATAATATAAATGGATATGTAGGTACAAACGCATGCATAATTTCACATAATCGCTCAAATACGCCAAAAGTTACTGAAAGCTTTATTGTAAATGTTTTCACTAAAATATTAGTTATTGGAATTAAAATTTTATGCGAATCCTACTTTAATTCCCATTTTTAGAAAGCGCAAGTATGTATATGTTCATGCCACAAAAATTATTTCATAAGTAGGTAATTTCAAACACACATACATAGGTATGAACACTGGCAATCGAAAGTGAGTGCATCCTGTTTTTTGTTTAATATTTGCAATGTTTTTAAGTTAAACTTTTATGTTATTTTCGACGGGAATTGCGGTTTTATGCATATAGCAAGTGCAATTTGTAAAAAATAGCGATAATTTTTTTTTATTTGTTTGCAAACGGTCATGCGCATTTTATTCTACAAGAAATTCCCTTTTATTTGGTAAAAAGTGCAAAAAGCCGTCAGCAATAAAAAATCATTAAAAATCAACCCGATTTTTTAGCCGCTTAAAACTTGATCTGGTTCCACTAGAATTAATAAACCAATCTATCTGCGTACTCAAAATTTTTCTAAAAACTCAGATTAAACAGGTCAAAATTTAGACGAGAATTCGTTGAATTTTTCTATGTTCAGTGTAAAGTTTGAAAGTTTGACTTATGTAGTTTTAATTAAAGCATGAACCACATTTTTATAAAAAGATAATAAAAAAAATTTAATTGAAAAACATTGCAAATATTAAGCAAAAAACACCATGCACTCAATTTTGATTGCCAGTATATGTATGCATGTACATATGTGTGTAAACTTTATGCCAAACTATCATTATTTTAAATTGTATTTGCATCTTCATAAAAGGAGAACAAGATAAAAAATTTAACAAAAATTACAAATTAATGAAAATTATGTGAAGATTTACCATATTTTCGTTTATTTGCTCACAAAGAACATCACATTTCATGTTGCTCAACATTGTATTATGTTATCAACATTAAATTCAACAGAATTTTTACATTCCGACTTGAACTTTTCTGACGCTGTTAATTTTTCGTCCGCGAATAGTTTCCACTTTCAGTTTGCACCTTCTCTATCTATCTAAGTTCTCTGGTGATACTAAGTCACATCGAAGCTGGAATTATGAGTAACGAAAAGCTAGAAAGTGTATCCGCAAAGCTTGCTGGGCGGAAGAAATATGGACAGAGACAGGATACAGAAGTTATGAGGCATAGAATTCAATTTACCTTCTACAGAGTACCTGTTTGTCGTTCGTTTTTCCTTTTTGTACATGCCTGTACGACGAAGCGTTACGAAAATTTAGTACGTCATTTTCACGCACAGGGTGTAACAGTGCGCCAACACGGACTGGCAAATAAACCGAGTACACATCCAAAGTCATTTAAACCGTTTTAAATACGTTTTTCTAGTGTATAATCATGTCTTTATAGCTTATAATTCAATGTATTTTGTTCATTACCAATAAATTATATTTTGTCGTATTTTTACTCTTCTTTCTCTACATTTTTAGTACACTTCTAAGCAAGTTAGGATTTTCTGCTTTTAACCACGTGAAAAAGCATCTCATCTTCCATCCGAATCAACCAAAAAGTGAAAATTGATTTTTTGACTCCTAAGCCCCCTTTCCGTAGACCAGGTCACATATATATATAACAAATTTGAAGTGGTGCATTCTAGATTCGAAGAATTTAATTATAAAAAACAAGAAAACCAGAATATGCAAACGTACAGCTTTTATATGTGTATATAACCTTCGCAGCCTATCCCCACCATGCCACCAGGATACAACGAAGGGCCTTTCAGCGTTTCCGGATGCAAGGGTAAGTCATTTTGAGTTCACACCCTGTAGTCAAATGTACTAGTTCTAAACTACCTCACAACTAGTATGAACCGCATGCCCAACAGAGGCAGAAATACGTGAGTGCGAAGAGCTTGAAATGCTGGCCGACAGGAGGAATGCCCGAAAATTTTACCAGAGAGTTAGGCGACTTACGGAAGGTTTAAAGACCGGGGCGCACTCCTGTAAGAACAATAATGGCGACCTAGTAACTGATGTCCAGAGCGTACTTAAATTATGGAGGGAACACTTTTCCGCCCTACTAAATGGTAGCAGCACGGAAAGTTGTGGAGAAGAAGAACCCGAGCCCGCAGTCGATGATGATGGAGTCGACGTTCCACCGCCTGACTATGACGAGGTACGTATAGCAATAACGCGGCTGAAAAACAACAAAGCCGCTGGAGCTGACAGCCTGCCAGCTGAGCTATTCAAGTACGGCGGCGAGGAGTTGATAAGGTGCATGCATCAACTCTTGTGCAGAATATGGTCAGATGAACGCATGCCCGACGACTGGAATTTAAGTGTGCTCTGCCCAATCCACAAGAAAGGTGACCCCGCCATTCGCGCCAACTACCGCGGGATCAGCCTTCTAAGCATAGGTTACAAGGTCTTATCGAGCGTATTGTGTGAAAGACTGAAGCCCACCGTCAATGAACTAATTGGGCCTTATCAGTGTGGCTTTAGACCTGGCAAATCCACCATAGACCAGGTATTCACAATACGCCAAATCTTGGAAAAGACCCGCGAGAAAAGGATCGACACTCACCACCTATTTGTCGACTTTAAAGCCGCTTTTGACAGCACTAAAAGGAGTTGCCTATACGCCGCTATGTCTGAATTTGGCATCCCCTCAAAACTCATACGGCTGTGTAAAATGACGTTGAGCAATACCACCAGCTCCGTCAGAATTGAAAAAGACCTCTCCGAGCCGTTCGCCACAAAACGGGGTTTCAGACAGGGCGACTGCCTTTCATGTGACTTCTTTAATCTGATGTTGGAGAAGATAATAAGAGCTGCAGAACTGAACCGCTCAGGAACAATTTACTACAAGAGCGTGCAATTGCTGGCTTATGCCGATGACATCGACATCATCGGTAACAAAAACCGCGAAGTCTGTTCTGCCTTTTTCAAGTTGGATAGGGAAGCAAAGCGCATGGGTCTGGTGGTAAACGAGGACAAGACGAAGTATCTCCTGTCATCAAACAAACAGTCAGCACATTCGCGCCTTGGCACCCACGTCACTGTTGACAGTTACAATTTCGAGAAAGTAGAGAATTTCGTTTACTTGGGAACCAGCATTAACACCGATAATAATGTCAGCATTGAAATCCAACGTAGAATCACTCTTGCCAACAAGTGCTACTTTGGACTGAGTAGGCAATTCAGGAGTAAAGTCCTCTCTCGACGTACGAAAACCACGCTCTATAAGTCACTCATCATGCCCGTGCTGGTATATGGCGCAGAAGCATGGACAATGACAACATCCGATGAGGCGGCTCTGGGGTGTTTGAGAGAAAGATTTTGCGGAAGATTTACGGTCCTTTACGCGTTGGCGACGGCGAGTACCGCAGACGATGGAACGATGAGCTGTATGAGCTTTACAACGATATGGACATAGTGCAGCGAATTAAAATACAGCGGCTCCGCTGGCTTGGTCATGTCGTTCGAATGGACACCGACGCTCCAGCTCTGAAAGTATTCAACTCGGACCCCGCTGGTGGTAGCAGAGGAAGAGGGAGACCCCCACTGCGATGGAAAGATCAGGTGGAGAAGGACTTGGCTTCACTTGGCGTTTCCAATTGGCGTCAGTTGGCACAGAGGAGAAACGACTGGCGTGCTTTGCTGAACTCGGCCAAAATCGCTTAGGCGGTTACAGCGCCAAAAAAGAAGAAGAAGAAGAGGTTCAAGATTGTGGGTTTTGATTAATAGCACTGAGGATTTGGCAATAACCTCTTTCATCTATGGACTTAGGCACTCCGCACATTATGCACCTAATCAAAGGAGAGAGTCAAGTTTTCTGAAGTAGCCCACCAAAAGTTGTCTTTTCGTTTTTTATAAGTAAGTATGAGTAAATATATGAGAAGTTGGTAAAAAATTCAATTGTCAAAAAAAAAATCATTTTTTTATAAAAAAAAATTGGAAATTTTGCAAACTGACCACCTAATTTTGTTGCTCAATAAGTTTTCTAATTGCTGTCAAAAATGCATAACATTCGCTGAAATATTGCAAAAAGTGTAAAAGCCTGCCTTAAAGTTTGTTTGCAAATAACTCGTCGAAAAATTAAAATTAGCGCAAAAGCTTTGGTGTCAATATTGCACACCATGCAAACTTTCGAAATCGTCCAATGAAATTTAAAAAATTTAAAAGTCATCTTTTGGTGGCCTACTTCAGAAAACTTTACTCAGAGTAGATAATCGTTTCGTCATTCCGAAACGAATGCATGACGACTCGACTTCTGCACACTTGCGCGCCCTGCATAAAAGCTGTAATACGGTTGACAAACGGGCTCGATTATTTGCATAAACAGCCTTTATTTGCTTTGACTCATGCATTTTCTTCTTTAAAATGCGCATAAGCAGCAGTGTTGCCGCGCCGTCTCAAGAAAATGTATCACCGACCAAGCCAAAAATGTATCCAAATGTATCCAATTTTCTTTTTTTACGTATCCATCTCATAATTAGTAAGAAAACCAAACATTTTAAAGAAAAAAGACATTTAACCCATCCTAAGGACTTGAAATACATGTATATATATTTTTATTTTTCATAAAATCAAACAATTGTAATTTAAATTTATAAATTACATTTTTTATGCATAAGTATTTTGCAAAGTAAATATAATAAATAGTAATTAATATGTTAAATTTGTACATGTACACTCTAAAAAGTTCATGTAAAACTACTAATGAAAAGTATCTATTTTTCAACAAGAATCTGTATAAATATACCTATAAGATGTTCAGGATTTGATTTTGAACTTGAGATCTTTAAAATATACACATAAATATACTCTTCAAATGTTTAAAAATGCAAAGATTTTTAAACTAAAAATACATTTTCTATTAATAAAAAGCATTAGGGGCTCACATTTACTCTAGTTTAAACATTTTATGTGTAATTTTACTCTTCGCGACAAATTTGGTATGTAAAAGTGAACAGGCAATGTTTAATTTTATTACACGGTGTGCAAATTAGGAGGAAACTGGATACCTCTCCTAATATGCGCAAATAAACAAAAAAATTAAAGTGTATTTAAAGACTTTTCAGTAAAATTCATAAGAATTTCCTTAAATAAATCAAATTTAGTTTTTAAACAGTGTATTTTAACCTACATCGAGATCTTTCTTTTAAATTAACAAATTAAAATATCTTCTTTTTGGTTGTTTGTGTTTCCGACAGGGTAGGAGTATGATGTATTGTGGAACGACTTTCCGTCATCCCTTGTCAAATTTGGTTTGGAGACAAACCGGTTTCGGCGTTGTGACATCTTCATTGTCATTTGCACATATGCACATAATTATTTTGACCTAACAGACGGCAGTTATGTGGATAAACGAGCCGCAAGGTCGTGAGTTCGAGTCCCACGGCCAGTTGAATTTTCATTTATTTCGTTTGTTCTTTATTTTTTTACGTTGCTTTCAGTTGGTTGTTGTTGACTTTTTATTAAAATTCAACTCTAAAAATTTAAATTACCTAATAGTAAAATAAAAAATGTGATATAAAATAAAGCAAATGAAAATAAAATAAATAAAGTTAAATATATAGATCAAATAAAATAAAAAAATATAAAATAATATAAAATATAAAATAAAATATATATAAAAACAAAAAATTTTTTCGCAATCGCTCCAACCGAGGATCGAACCTGGTAGCTACAGGCTTGTAGCCCGTAACTCTTACCACATGGCTACCGCGGACGCGGAATTCGCGTGCTTTGTTTGCTTACTTGTACAAAAGACAATAGCTGGCCGTTTTTACCAGTGTTGTCAACGAAAACTGCCCGGATCCGAGTTAATTCCCAAATATTTCGTGCATTTGTTCGGCTGCTTATGCGCATTTTAAAGAGGAAAATGCATGAGTCAAAGCAAATAAAGGCTGTTTATGCAAATAAGCGAGCCCGTTTGTCAACCGAATAAATCACCAACTAATAAACATATTCTAACTTCGCACTTCCGCAAATATTTTTGCAGCGAAATATTACATAATTGCTTGTGGTTTAATACAATTTGCACAAATTTTGGCACGAAATCGGTTATATTCAATTATTTCCTATAGAAATGGCAAATAATTTTTACTTCCAAGACAAAAAAGTAAACAACTGACGATTTTAAAACGGCAAGCGCCTTTTTGGGCGCTCCGATTCATGAAGCTTTTATGATTTGGCGAAAACATGATTATAAATCGTAATGTACAGAGCTTCATTGAAATACATGCGTTCGGCATAAAAGCTTCACACTTTAGTATGCCAAAACGATTACACAACTACGATTCGGCGCTTAATGTGCGGAGTGCCTTACGGGGCAATATTTATTGTAAAGGCATTCCATTCACATATCTCA